AAGAAGAAGAAGAAGAAGAAGAAGAAGAAGAAGAAGAAGAAGAAGAAGAAGAAGAGGAAGAAGAAGAGGAAGAAGAAGAAGAAGAAGAAGAGGGCCGAGGCGGGAGCTTCACGGCAGGATGGTGCTGTGCCGAGTACGGGGCAGGTGTTGGTTCTGAGAGCTGATCTGCATGCTGAGAGGAAAACCCAAGGTTGTAGGGGTCCCCCGGGTGCCCCGGAGCAAAGCATACCAGGTCACCTACAGCACTTCCTTTTCTGTGGTATTTATGAAGAAAAGAAATGAAAGGAATCCTTGTGGACACCATGGATGGTGTTTATAAAAGCAGTTAATGAGATAACTCAGGAGAGTAAAATATGGAGCAGATGGTAATGTTTTATCATAGATTTGCACCCATTTTGACATGATATTGAGGTCAAGACCCAGTTAGGTTCAGAGAATGCCTGCTTTTCAGAGTTCTAGGCAGCCAGTACTAGGAGGAAAGCTTACAAATTTGACATCGGGATCTGCATGACAAATAAAAATAAGTGCACTTAAAATACATTGCCCTTTAAGACAAGTATTAATAAAGCATAGCTTTTTATTTCACCTTGTAGGTTGTTTCATATTTAGCACATTTAGGTGTTTTAAAATGGCTACCTAGATTTATTTTAAAGGGTAAAAATGGATCCAGAATTGGTTTAAAAATATTCTAAGCAAGGCGAGCCCAAGTGAAATTGAAATGACACCGAGTGAAGGTAACTTTGCCCCCAAGAATGGTGGTTCTAGCGTACAAATCAGTGTGGGTTGCTTATAGGCAAGAGAAACTGTCTTGTTAACTTGCAAAAGAGACAGCTGATTGGAAGGCTGTTAAGCTCCTCAGGACAGAGGGAAGGGGGGTCACCAGGCTTGGCAGGTTCAGGAGCTCAGCGCTGCAGAAGGTCTTGCTAGGGGGTCCGTGAAGAGTCCTGCCTGGAAGACACTGTCTTTCCCCAGTGAGCCCAGAGAGGCCTGGCATGGGTGTGGGCTGCTCTTGCCCCGGTAAGGGCAGGCACATTTGCGATGCAGTCCTGTATTCCAACAGGCAAGGTCAGCCCAGTCGTGGGAACACTCCCGACAACAGAAAGCGTCTGGGGAGCCAGGAATGGAGCCCTTTTCACTGATCTGCTGGAGTCTTCACTGTAGCAGCACCGCTTACATTGTCCTTCTGCTTCCTCGGTATGTATGTTCATAGGCGTCACGTGTGTACTTATGTACGTGTACGTACATGTGTACGTAGGCAGTGTGCATTTTATTTTATTTTATTATTTTATTTTTGGTGCTGGGGATCGAACTCGGAACTTGTGCTTGTGAGGCAGGTGTCGGAACCACTGAGCTAAATCCCCAGCCCCAGTGTGCATTTTAGATGACGGTCTGGGAACACTTAGCACTACAAAGTTCATAGAAGAGGAAGGAGAGAAGCGTGTGTCTTACAGAGTCCACCCCCCCACCCCCATTGATCGTTTGTGAAATGAATGGACCCCTCGCTGGACCAGGAAGCAGAATTGAGACTTCCACAGCGTCTCCCGGGCAGCTGCTTCCGAGGTGAGGAGGGAACTGGAAGTCTCTCACACTGCCTCGAGGTTGTTGGTTTAGCAAGTCACAGTTTTTGTTACACCTCCCGAAGTGCTCATCTCAGCTCTGAGCCCGTGCAAGTTGGGCCCTTCGTTGCACAAAGGGAAATCAGAGCCTGGAGAGGCCATGAGTCTCAGGATGCCAGCAGCCAAGTGAGTACAGCATTCCCAGCTATCAGTGCCCCGGCTCCACCTTACACGAGCTGGACGACCCAGGGTAAGTCATTTGTCTTTGGAAGCCTCAGTTTTCCGACCTGAGGAATGGGACTGATAGTCTTCCCTTGCTCACCTTGTATCTGTGTTTCGGGTCAGCAGAACAGTGCCCAGCAGAGGGAGAGTCCAGGGGGCAGAGGTTAAGGAGACAGGACTTGCAGCTAGACAAGTTTGGTTTTTTTCCCTGTTTTTTTTGTTTTGTTTTTGTGGCACTGGGGATTGAACCCAGGGCCTTTGCACTGAGCTATATCCCTACCTGCTTTGAAAATTTTATTTTGAGACGGATCTTGTTAAGTTGCTAAGATGCCCAGGCTGGCCTTGAATTTAGGATCCTCCTGCCTCAGCCTCCTAGAATGCTGGAATTACAGGGGTATACCTCAGCACTCGATATCAGATTTGGGTTTTAAAACTCCTCGGTCTATAATGAAAGGCAAAATTGGTATTCTAGCCAGGCCACTATTTGGTGGCGTGAATATTAAAGTGGGATAATGGCAACAAGGTGCTGGCCCAGTGCTTGGCCCCAGGCCTCCCTGCATGGTGACAGTGTTGTGTTATGTACGTGCCTTGATTTCTGTTAGCAGGTCAGCAGTATGGTCTTGTGAGGAAAGCTGATACAGGCTGTGTCCTCCCTCAAGGCATTTGAGAAAAACTGTCTACGGTTTTTCTATTGCTTCTGTAAAGACTACAAGAAGAAATAGGCCTAGTGGCAAAGGCCCATTATTCTAGCACTCTGGGAGGCTGAGGCCAGAGGATTGCAAGGTCAAGCCCAGCTTGAGAAACTTAGTGAGACTCCGTCTCAAAATGAAGAAGGCCTGGGTCATAGTTTAGTTCAAAGGCTTTGGGTTCAATCTCAAGTACGGAGGCAGGGGGAGGGAGTGAAGACTAGAAGAGAGAATCTAGGAATTGCAAAGGGACCCCTTCTTTTCCTGAAGGAAGGAACCATGGAGGAGCAGCTGTTCAGAGCAACTCTCTCTGTACAGGGCCAGCAAGTGAAGACTCTGGACTCTGCAGGCCAGAGGGTATGGGTTTCAATTGCCTGGCTTTGGCCTTCCAGCATGAAATCAGCCATAGATGCTATGCAAAGAGATGAGTGTGGCGGTGTTCCAATAAAACTTTATTTATAAAACCAGCCATTGGCCCAGACTTTGCCTGCAGGCCACAGTTTGTTAAACTATTATTTTATCAATTAAAAAGGAATGCATTGGCAGGAGCCCACTTGGGCAAGGTTGAGTTGGAGTTTAACATTTTAAAGATCACCTTCCTTGATATATTATTCATGGAGAAATCTCCTAGAGTTTCAAAGCATCCAACATTTCATGGAAAAATCTGGTCATTCCAACCATACATCAAGCAGGAGCTTGGGGCATTCCTAATTTTAGATCTGTCCTTGTTGCCGGCTGGATCAGTCCAGTGTCAGTTTGGGGAACTACAATGCCAGGCCCAGACGATGGATCACCAGGGTCTTCCTAGATTTCTCTGCCCCCCAACCCCTTGTCCCTCTCTGGTGTCCCCAGACATGGCCCTGGCTCGTTTCTTGTGGGGAGCTGTGCTGAGCTGGTTATCCCCATACCTCGCTATTTTACCTTCTCACTCTTGCTAATGCAGAGGGGACAAGACCTGTCCATGCCGAGATGCTGCTTTGAATGGAGAAAGCTCTTGAGACTGGTTGTCCAATAATAGCTTATTCTGGTTCCAGGCTCCATTGTATTTGCTTAACATTTGGGCTGCTGCCAGGTAATTTACCTATAAGCTATGCACAGAAGAAAAAAGAAACCATCCATCTAAAGTATTCAGATTTTGGCCTTAATTAAAATGCAGAATAAATATGTAAAGGCTAAAGAGCATGAATTATAGATACTGGGGTTTCTATATTAAAATCGGTTTTCATCTATGCAGGCACCGTGTGTTTATGGCAGGGAGGAAGTGTGTATACAAGTCAGTGGAAAGCAATATAATTATGACTGTGTGTGCTTAGCAAGATGGGAAATGGATCTATTGTAAGAGAAGGAATCCTCCTCTACTTTTCTCATTTCACTGCCTCTGTGGACTTTTTTTTCCATTTCAATTCTATAAAGGGCTAATCCTGACCCTTGTTATTTAAATTGCTTCGCCATGGCTAGAAAAGCAGCCTTTGCCTCACTTAAAAGCTCTTCCTCACCTGGCTGGAGGGGCCAAGCCTGTTTCTATCCCTTGCTCCTCCTGGGAATGAGGCCCACAAGCTGTGAGGACAGAGTTTCAGAGGCAGCATCTTGGGTCTTCGGTCTTCCATGAGTTCAGGCCACAGTTCACCCCCTGGAGAGTGAGACACTCTGGGTTTTTCTTTTAGAGTCTCAGCAGGGAGCTGAAGAAGCCGCAAGGAGCAGAAATCAGGGGTCTGAATCTGTGGATGCTGCCTAAGGGATGGGATGAATAAAGAGAGAGAGTGCTGAGGTCAGCGGTTACCAGTGTGCCAATTTCATAATTGGGATTTTTTTTTAAACATTCAGCCTTACAGATCCATGTTAATTAGAGGTTAGGTAATAACACATTGTTTTAAAGCACAGTGTTGAGAAGAATGCTGAGAATTTATTTGCATTACAAATGAACTCTGAAAAACAAACAGATTAGAAGTAAAACTAACAATGATGTCATCATCAATATGGGAGGGGAGAGGCTTTTGTAACAGACAGAAAGAGCCAACTTTTCTAGAATGCATTGACCATTTAGAGAAATTTAGTTCTGCAGCAAAATGATGGTTCCAGAACTTTCCAGCTCCTCAGACGCATGAAGGATGCATGCTCAGCCTGGGTAGTGGGTTCTGGTTCCTGTGTGGATGACCCCTGAGGGTGGGTGATCCAGGGCGGGGCTGATGCTATTCACAGACCCTCTGGCAGGAGGTTGAAGTCTGGCTGTTTCCTCAGTGGAGAGAGACTGAGAAGGAGGGAAGAGCTTTTCGTTCTTTGTGGTAGAGGCTGAAAGCTGCTGTCCTCCTGTTGTTTGAATCACTTCTGGCAGCTTTTCCATCTTTGCTTGAAGGCACCTGCTGAAGGAAGAGAGAGAGAGAGTGAGAGAGAGAACGCAAAGGACAAGGGACCCGAGGACTGGAGCCTTTGGGTTTCAGGTGTTACCCCCTCAGATTCCCCCAGGATTCTGACTGGTGGGTTAGGGCAGAGGTGGCCATGTGGCACATCTGTGCAGCCCACGTGGAAGTGGGGCTCGTGGGGAAGGCAGGCAATATATCTGGCTGTCCCGCAGAGGTGGGCACCAGGGGGCAAGGATCTGGGTCAGCTCCATCAAGAAGCTGGGGGCAGGCAGAGGACCGGACCCTGTGTCCATGGAGATAGAGTTCTGCTTCTGTACGAGAAAGTTCAAACCTGTATTCAGAATGGATGCCGGGGCAACCCAGCATGACAAAATTCACCACAGATCATTGATGCCAAATTTCACTGTTGTCCTGTGGCGAGATTTCCCCTCAACCTTCATCTTGGAAGCTATGCAGATGTATGGAGCAGCTGTACCACGAGAGCAGGGCCAGCAGGCTGTGGTTCACCGGTCGTCCGGCTCAAATCTATCTTCAAAACGAGGGATTTGGAAGCACCGCCTGGTTTCTTGAGCTGCTGTATGTCCTGGCTGCTTGCATGTCATGGTGGCAATTGAGAAGCTGTGACGGAAACCGGGTAATCTACAAAGGCTAAAACACTCCTGATCCTACCCCTGCGTTAGATCACAGGAGAAAAATCTAATCCAATCTATTTTAGAAACATCTGGAAATTTCACTATCTGGAGTCGTAGGTCGAGGGTGCCTTTGCTTTGACCTCTTCCAAGCCTCTACAAGGTCTAGTACTGCTTCTGTTGGCCAGATGTGGGTCCACATGGCACCGGTTGGCTTGGTGCTATTCTAAAAGGAAAAGTGACAAATGTGTTCTCTCTGTCTGTCTCTCTCTCTCTCTGAAGCCACATAAGAGAAATCATCATGTGACAGGCAACTTCTTTACTCATTATGAGTTGGTAAAGGTCATGCCGCTCAGATCTGGTTTGCAAGCCCAATACCTGGCTAACCAGAGGCTTCCCCCAGTTGTCAGGCGGACACAGGCTTTGACAGGTCTCCCAGATAGAATTGTTTTTATTTATCTCATCCACTCCACATGTCACACCTTCTCCATTTGCCTCGCCCTCTCTCTGGCTGCTCTGCTTGGCCCAGGCTTTTAACAATTGCAGCCACGGGGCCCGAGACACTTGAAAGCCTGTCATCAATGGTCCCCTTCATTGTTTTCCTGTTTTTTTCTCCCGAGAAAGCATAGAAAGTTACAATCTTGCAGGGTAATTACCATATATAGAAACACCCAAGATGCTAGGCCATGTGGGACACGCCATAATTTTTGCAGCAGCGGAAACAAACAGCCACTTCTTGAT